GGTTACAGACACTCTCGCGTCAGGGCTTCCCAGTCGCCCGGTCATTGTTAGTTTCATTAGAGACTTTTAGCATCGGGTATACCGCTAACCGCTAAACACTAACCGCTAGGAATCAGGCCCCGAAAAACGCCCGAAAACACAGAGAAACTGAACACTAAGCATCGATGAAATTCAATATGGCGGCTCTTCCAGCAACGACTTTGTTTGACGCCTTTCAAAAAGTTGAATGTTTGACGGAAAACGCCTGATGTCGAACTGCAGTTTGAGATTTGCGGGGCTAGTAAGAACGTCTTGCTTAAGGTCTCTAATATCACAAAGAACCTCTGCGAGATAGTCTCTGGAACCCAGGGTGCTTTGCACAAGAATCTTCCCTTCCTTTTTGCGAGTTGTAAAGAAATGTTTAATTATTGGAATCCCATAACGTCACGAATCAAGGAGAACAGGAAAGGAGACAATGAGTAGTCAGAGACATCAAACATATTCCTATGTCATATATTCCTATATAAAACCGTGCTGCAATTCCAAGTGTCGGTAAAGATGCATGGGCCACTACTAAATTTTATTAAAGAATTTAAAGATTTGAAATTGCAGTGGGATTATAAGCAGACGCAGAGACATTAATATAACTATAAACCAGTCAATATCAAGCAACTTACCGCTACGATCATGAAATTCAGTATTGTCTATACACTTGTTATTGAATGCAAAAGTACTTTTATCTTTTTTACATTCACATGTGCATTCATTATTACTGCCGACAAGTTGGCCACCCATAGTAGTACACAGTAATGAGACATTGCCGGCAAAACACATCGATGGAGGTAATACGAACCGGTCTGGCAATACATTCCCTGATTCTACTCTGCGTTCAATGGAGTATTCCTTTGCTAGAAGTCCTTGCCACAACGACAAAAGAAAGACGACAAAGTCTTTATTCATTATTTCAATTGTTTCATTTCTCGATCACCATGAGCAATACTTAAGTGTGCAGCTTTATCAAGCAGTAACGTACATCCTTACTTCGCGTTCTGCTCCCACTTGAATTCTTGTGTATCTTGTATTTTTCCCAAGAACTACAGGTTTAATGTTGTTTAAATGGCTTCTTTCTATAGCACAAGGTTGTTACGGAAAATGTGACTAAACTGCTCAGTAAATCGTCAAAGAATATTGTGCTCATAAAACAGAGCTAAACAGAGAGATACTTACCTGATAAACGGTGTTTAATTTACAATTTCAAGCTAGGATTCAACTTGTTGGCTGTCGAGGTTTCTTTTAAGAATTTTCATACGACTGACACTACGATTAACCTTGACTTCCGCATAGAATGAATGACTGACTTAAAGAATTGACGAATGGTATGGGCGAACCATTAAAAAAGATTAGTGTATTGTATTTCCTAATACATTCCTGAACTGTCCGACAAAATAGCAAATCAAATTAATATCTAGTACTTCTGAGACTTTTATGTGGTAAAGACATTATATGTTTTAATTTTCAAAATGTGACGTGATTGAAATTTTTTTTAGAATACTGAAAATGCTAATAATAGAAGATAGCATGGTTGAATAACGATACAGAGTATCAAGGAAAACAAATGACGTCAGAATGATATTATAACTGTTAATATGCCCTTCAGTTCTTCGGCTGGTAAACTTGCTATTCATCATTTAGGTAAAGGATATTTTCAAAAAACACTTTATTCCTATATATACAGGGGATATATTCAATTAGCTGCTGAATCACGAGCTAACGCATCTCATCGAGAGGAAGTCATAAAAAGCGTGACGCTCAAAACGTCAACATTTCAGCTTCACTAGCTCTCACTCGAGTGAGCAACCAAGAGAATCATTACAAATGTTAGTTTAATATAATTTATAACGCGGCATACTATTGTCAACGGAGGCGGTCCAGTGGTTTGTAAATAAACGGATACCAGTTAAATAATGTTGTACGTGCATACACACATATGTAAACTTCACTATCATACTATTGGGTTGACATTGAGACACGCATACACTGATATTGCGATTGTCGAAAATACTAATTATAACACGTAAGACAAAATGAAAATGAACATTTTTAATAGCACTTACTTTACAGACAAGGTAGGCTAGTCAATACAAGAGCTTTAAAGCTCGGTTATTTCTCGATATAATATCTATTCAACCTACTTAGTTGAAAAATTACTTCCATTTGCTGGCATAAACGTCACATGAACGATATGGAAAAGGAGCACAATTTTCCATTTAGAATATCAATTATCCCAATTAACGTGATCAACAGGAAATCAATGTCTATCAAATGATAATAGATATATAGAGTGAACAGTGGCCTATGGAGTATTGTATGATCAGGTCATTTTTCATGGATTCTGTGGTCGACGTTTCTATTTGTTTTCATCTCGTCCCAA